TTTATCACTAAAAACAAAACAATTGTATTATGTTTCATTGTTTCCTCATCAGTAACAGAAAAAATTGTATGGTTTGTTTATAACTGCATAGAGTTGGCATTTCAGATCAACAGATTTTCCCTCCCTTCAATCTGCTTTAGATCAGAAATGATTTTTTTAAAGTATCTGTATTGAATGCCTGAAGAGTTGTTTTTTCTGATTATTCTCTTAATACTAGTACAACACCTAACATGGTATTTATATTGCAGTGTGCATAAATCTAAGATGAATTTAAAATGCACAGGAAGATGTGCACAAATTATATGCAAATATTATGCCATTATGTGTAAAGAACTTGGGCATCTGAGGAGTTTGCTCTCTGCAGGGAGTCTGGGACCAGTCTTCTAATACCAAAGGATGGCTGTTTTTCTGATAGTCAGAACATTGTGTTTTGGCCAAATATTAACTGGTTTATATCTAGATGTCCCCCAAGAGCCTTATTTGCTCATAGGCAGGGTGTTGGGAAAGTGGTTGGTTAATGAAGGCTTACAGCTGACTTGCTGTTACGAAGTCTGGTAGAAAGAGGTGTGTGCCCAGGGGCCTGGCCTTCCAAGGCTCCTCCCTTCCTTTTCTCTGCTTCCTTTTTGCCATGCCCTGATTAGCTCTGACCACATAAGGACTTCACCTTCTAAAATGTGAACCAAAATAAGCCTCTCCTCCTTTAAATTGTAGGTGTTGGATATTGTGTTCCACTGACATTAAGATATTAGTGAAACAAGTCCGTATATACTATTTCATATTTCAGGTGACTGATGATTGAGAGAGTTTTGCACAAATCAGCTTCCACGTCTGCACAATCACCCACAAACTTATGGTGCCATGTCCAAGTGACATATTTCCATCACGCCACAGCCTCTTGCCATGTACTTTTGAGTCATAATGGCTTAGTGAACTGGCACTGTGGGAGTGTTATTGAAAATTATTTTCAGTCTAAAGCAGCAACTGGTAAATGGCTATGTAAAATGCAAATTTCACCAAATTATATGACCATTTGAAGAGATTACAAGACCTTCTTGCGGACTTATAAAGAACTTGAGTAGGAGGAAGATGAGGGATCTCAAAGTTTCATTGGCATCACAAACAAATCAGCCTTTAAATACCAGTTTTTGCAGCTGGGGTATGTCTCAGTGTAGAGCAGGTTCACAGCACCCACTAGCCCCTGGGCTCAATCTGCTCAATAATAAACTCTCTTCGCTCTCCAGAAAAGTTCTTAGAAATTCTTTCTTATTATGCCAGTTTTTTCAATGTGAAGTAGCAGTGAAGATTATCAGCTAGGACTGAGAATGGGTCATGTGGTGGGAGAGTAAATAATACATGAACTAGCTTTGAAAATAGAGAAGTAAACAGGCTAGGGAAATATAGTACAATGGCTGAGCAGAAAGAGGAAGTTCATAGGAGGTGATTTATGGAAAGAGCAGTGGGCAGGATGGCGGATGGTATTATACCTGTAGATAAAAAATAGGTGGATAATAGATTTGAGCAAATGTATGGTTTAGCAAACAAAAATGAGGATAGCAGAGGGGACCAAGGTGGAAGAAGTTGTATGTAGGAGAATGATTATAATGCTGCACCATGGATTTTAATAATTGCCTAAGGAGAGCAGAGAAGATATCAGAGTTTGACAGGTAATGGCAAATGGAAGAGTAGATAGACTGCATGGCCCATGGATCAAGGGCTTTGAGTGGCGTACATGCAAGGGATTGTATAGAACTAAGAGATGAATTGGTTGTCATGAATGGAATGCTGTCTATATGACAACCACAAAACTGATTTGCTAGGGTAGGGTTAAAGGCAAATTCCCAGGAGGACAGTTCAAGGACCTAAAAGGGCAGCATGCTGAAAGAATCTTGTATGTATACATAGAGTAAAAACCCTAGCAACCAAGACAGTAGTACAAAGAATTGATGTTAGTGATTCAGGTGCTAAAACAATCCAGAAACCAGATGAAAAAAACTGGGAGTTAGACTGTGTTCATTTGGGGCTTATTTTGCAAAGAGAAAATGTAATATAGGACACATACTTTATATGATTATTTATAATAGTCACCCAAAGAACAATATACAAAGGAGTGCAGGAAATCTGTCCACACACTAAGACCAAGGAATCCAGCTGAGGGCCTGGATCCCATAACAATGTCTTGCATGAGTCCAGTGAATACCTAGAGCTCATAATAATGCCTCCCATGAGTCCACCTGGAGGCCCAGAGCCCATGACAACATCTTATGCAGGCCTGTTTCACAGATCTGCTGGGAAGGCCCAAAGGTCAGTGGTGAAATCTACAAAGTCTGTGCCAGCAGGATGAAGGACCTGTGCTAGCAGGCTGAAGGATCTGCACTGGAGCCAGGAAGTGATGCTCAGAAGAACCAGAGCTCCCCCAAAAGGTACCACAGCCATCCTCAGCAACAGTGAGGTCCTGAGCTCCTCTGATGATCAAGATGGCCGAGTTCCCATCAGGCAAGCCAAGGTAGCCAGCTTCTCCAGGAGACCGGCACTGCACCATCTTCCCCTCCAGAACCAGGAAGCGATGTTCAAAGTGAGGACCAGAGCTCCCGCAAAGTGAACCAAAGCCATTCTCAGTGCCAGCGAGGTCCCAAGCTCCTTGGAGGATGAAAAGAGCCAAGTTCATCAGGAAAGCCAGCTCTTCACAGCTTCTACCAGGTCCCAACAGCCTCTCTCAGCTCCCAACAGCCTGCTTCTTCTTCTCCAGGTCTGCCTCTCATGCTGCTGGAAGCCATCCTCAGGTGGGTCTCCCACACCCAGCACCACACTCACTTAGTTCAGCTGGGGGTTATAAGTTGACCACCAGTTATCAATCTACTACATAGCCCATGAATGGAACAATGAGCCAATGAGGGCCACGGGATGGATAATCTGATACTAAGAGATTCAACTGTAGGGTAAGGATAATGACCAGATGATCCAGAAATGGCAATGAGGAGTAGAGAATTCATCTTCACACCCAGTGGCAGCTGGGCAGAGGGACAGAGCCACCAACCAAGAGGCCTGAAGCAGCTAGCATGTCCTCAGAAGAGAGCCTCGCTTTAATTCTGAGAAGATGATGAAGGAAAATTTCTGAGAGCATGCTGGATTTGCTCAGTGTGGACTGGAGTGCCAAAGGGCACACATTATATCACAACCTGAATGACTGTTCTAATTCCCTGGTTTCTGGGTTTCTACAGTACTGTGGAGAATGGTTCATGTGGACTGACGCTGCGTACCACATTCATGTAATACACGGAAACAGCATATTAGAGACTGGTATTGAGTACATAGTTTGCACATCCAAGAAACAAAACAATTCTAGAAGCTAAAAAGGTACAGTTAGCAGTGATGCCTCGAGGGGTAACTAACATTGATGAAGGGAAATTTTATCTATACTTTACACCCTGTGCTAGTGCCCTTCTCTGTGTACAGTGTGAGGTACTTAAAATGTGAATGCACTCAGCTCTCCATATCAGTGGCTTCCACATTGGTGGACTAAGCCAGTTATGGACATAAAGTACTAGAAAAAATGTATCTATGCTGAACATGTACAGACTTTTTCTCATTCGTTATGCAATATATCAACCCTTTACACAGCATTGACATTGTATTGATTTGACTGTTTTTAGGCATTTGTCTGAAAATAGTAGGAAAGAATAGATAAGGGGTATAGATAGTGGGTTTAGATATAATAAGATTATTCAGAGGCAAGGAAGATTGAAGGAGAGTTGTGGTTTCACAGTTGATCATATTGTCCTCTCTACCTCTGTATCTATTTAAAATTGTCCATAATAAAGTTTTAAAAGATAACATCAGGCAGTAAAATAAATGATAGCTATTTGTTTCTATTCATTTCCATGAGCTATTATTTGCACTAAATTTGAGGAATGCAGTGGTAGAAGTATTCAGGGGCCCAGCCTTCATGTTGTTCATGACTTCAAGGAAAAGACAGTCAGCAATCTAAATAAAAGCTACGTCAAGTTCAGATTTTACTTGAAAACAGTAAGAAGTCATTTACTTGTCTTAACCAGACAAAAATATCATCCGACTTCTCCATATTATTTTATATAACATGATGAAGTGGTTGAAAAAGGACTAAAGTGAAGGAATGTGATCACATTAGCAGTCATTTATGTTTGTGTTGGTGGAAGTTTGCAGAATAGAGAGGCAGAAGAGGGAGAATCTACGAGCAACTCTGAAAGGAAGTCGGGGGTGAATGCAGTAAGCCTGGAGCATGCGGTCTCAAAGGTAAGAGACAAACCAGGGGTTAGCTCAGAAAATTATCTGCTGCCTAAACTACATAAGCCATAACTCTTGCCATTTCTTTTCTCAGAAACAAGACATTCTTGTGGATCTTAGGAATAGTGTCTTCATTTCTTATTGTAGCATCCACAAGTCTATTCTTCCTTATTTCTCTCTATTATCTCTCTGTACGGTGTATGCTAAGCAGGTTTGATTTGATGGCATAAGGTGAGAAATAATTACAACTTCTTGTTCTGGAAAGTGCTACTCGAAGTGCATGTAATTCTCATTGTATCCAAAGTGGCTCATCTTTATAAATCTTAGCCCAAACATGAGCTTCTCCATGAGCCTTCTCATTCTATATCTGTGTCTTATTCCATCCCCTAAACACATAACTCAGATGTCAGCTTGTATGCAGGAGTTACTTCAGTGTGACTTTATACACATTATAGTGATTTTTACATCTTTTTTCCAATTGTTTCCTAATTAAAACTCTAAGAGCAAAAAGTGTGCTAATTCATCTTTATCTTCCTTAAGTACCGTACCTTATTTTAATGCCAATAAACACTGAATTAAGATGATTTCTTATCCCTTTGCATTTGTGTTTCTCCAAAATATAGATGAATAACAAAACTTTCCATAGAAAAACTGATTTTCACTTAACAAATTTAAATTAACAAATGCTCGTTCTGGTTGTGAACATGTGAAAACCTTAGGAGATCAAATGACAGTGCAAGTTTATGAGTGCATAAAATTCTTTATTTAGAACAATAAAGTATATGTTTATATAATGTAATTTCAAATTCAAACCTGTATAAAAAGGGTCAGGACATATACCTATTTTAAAAAGTACACATACAGTATATACACATACACATCACATTTTACAACTTTTTATTTAAACTTCAGTCATAATAAAACTATTTAGAATAGTGATGACATACATTTACATTACAATATGCAAACTCTGATCTATGACTGATCTAGCAATATATCTGTGCATCTATCTAAATGTCTGAATACTTTTCAAGTCCATTGATTTAAAAGACAGTGGCAAGTGGATACATTAATCACACATTAATGCTCACAATAGCGAAGAAAGGGCTATTTTGTTTGGAAAATTATATTTAGTCTTGCATCAAAAATCAAGTAAATGAAAATACCATGGTCTTTAAACAATTATCATCTTAATTATATTTTTAAGAACATTAAAGAATGCAGTTGGGAGATGACAGTTATACATTACAATGTTTAGCAAACATTTTAGGATCGTAAATATACATTTTAATATGGGTTACTTTAAAAACACCTGTTATGAAATGAAAGTACCATTATTTTGTGTATACAAGGCATTTTAAAAGACAAGTTAATAAAAGGCAATAACACCATAATTGGGGTGATAGAATTGAATGGTTATATTTTAAAGCCAAATTCAAAATAATATCAGTTCAAACATAAACTGGCTCCCTTTAAAATTCTTGTCCGACTTTCCAAACTTAAAATTTATTTTATGGATTATCCTTTTATGGATTGGTTCTAAAATATCCTTTGGCATTAAAAACTGTATGAACATCTTATATCTTCTGCTGCTAGCTTTCAATAAAATGAGAACATTCAGATGTTTAATTTGGTGCATTTCCAAATGTTACACACATCTTAAAGTGTACCTTCCCAACTAAAATATACTACTAATTTTCTTTCTTCGGAGGTGATCCAAAATGTTTATTTAAACAAAGTAAAAGCCATCTCTTGTGTAAGTAGTTATCTGATTTGCCCTACTTGCAACTGAATTTTGCATTTTCTAATGGACCCTATTTACATTAGAAACAAAAACAACAAAAATTTTTTATGGTCCAAATGCTATTCACAAAGAACAGAGTTGGGTATCTTGTATTGGACAATTTCTGCTGTTCTGCATTTTAATCTGCATTGTCAGTCACATAGCAGAAAAGGCTCACCCCAAGATGTGACCTTCAAATTCATCACAACGATAAGTAAAAATTAAGACTGTAAGAGGAGAGGTGATTTACCACATTACTTAGTGGAAGAGTAGAGCTTCTGACAATTTTTCCAACATCCATTCTCACTACGCCAAGCTGTCTTTTTTAAGAATCTGTTTCTTAGAGAAGAACAGATCTGGAATGGCTAAATGCCCCATGTTAGAATCAAATGTTGACACCTCAACCTAGCTGCAAAAACACTTTAGGAAATAACCATGATTTCAGAATGGATTTTTCTGTTCATTTATAACTTCAGTTGAATTAGAGTGCTAAAATATACTACAAAGTTTCTCCAAGTAAAAATGTGTTTTATTCTTACTAACAGCAAATACTTCATTATGAACACATGCTTCTCATATTTTCATTTTTCACATACATGATCCTTTATTAAGAGGATAGGTTACTTAGTCTAGTATTGTATTAAAAAATCAATTTGCCTCTGATTCATTAAAAGTGGCAGTGTGACAAGCCCATGACATTATCATACATTATCCAAGGATATTCAATATTACCAGGCAGGCCCCATTTATCACAGAGCCAGTTTCGGTATACAGTTGGTCTTGACCAAAGAGATACATAGTTCTCAGTATAACTTACAACCTACAAACTTTTGAAACCATTCTAAGCACTAGGCAATTTCAAAACATTGTAAAAGAGAAGTATCGGATACATGGCACCAATTTAAAAGGCTATTTCATGGTTTATCATCTCAGTTGTGAGTTTTCCATAACTTATGGAAAAGGATATTCAGAACACATATGGGATCAAATAAGCAAAGACATACGTATATTTGTATTCCAAAGCAGATGACATAATTAAATGTCCAAGCAGCTAGCATCCAAAATAATGTTCAGCACTTTTCTATTGTTCATTCACTTCACTGAATTGTAGCACTTTAAAAATTGCCAATCCATGTAACTCTCAGTGACCCCATACATTTAATAGGCAGGACACACCTCTCCTCCCCTACCATGACAGATTTCATAACTGGCTAAATTTGTATCTTAACTCTATTAATTAAGATCATTTTCTTGAGTGTTAAACCCAAACTACTAGCTTTGAGAACAAAAGTATATTTCTTCTATTCTCAAGCTCAGAAAACAGCATTTCCATATGCCCAAACAAACTGAAATCACTGGATAAATAAACCAAACCACTAGCCTGAGACTATCAGTCTTCTCAATCTATACACCACCTACACGTATGTCTTGTTAACCTATGCCTATTTTCCTCAAAACGATCAATTCCACAAACACAGATAGGTCCTCTCAGCAATTAAACTGATCCCTAATCTTATTACTAACCGGTTGTACAGTGGGATATCTGTGGGCCTGAAAAGTTAATGCAGCTTCCCAGTGGACTTTCACTGATTCTTAGAGAAATGACTTGTGCAGGAGGAAGCACAGCACTTTAAAGAAGAAAGAAACCATAGAAATCATCTGAGCTCTTTGGTATGAAAAAGAGCAAAGGCCACAAAATAAATTGGATCTGGATTAGTTTTGAATATAAGCTAAAATCCAACTATATGAGAAATTCTTGGATATGTGAAATCAAAGAAAAGCCAGCATTTAGTTTTTTCATGCCCTTCTGTATAATAACATTAAAAATGGTCATCTTACGGTTATAGTACATGGCAATGATGTTATTACAAAGATTAAGTTTGAACGAGAGGCTTTGGATTCCTTTAGGTAAGTGTTCACACGTTAAAAGAACTTTCATCACAATAAACTATAGAAAAATCACTATTTGACTTTATGAAGATATTCTTTTGACTATTAAAAAATTGACAAGGGGAATTAACATAATGTCCTACAAATTTTACTTTAAAAGCACAATGTCCATCTTGGGAATTCTGGCCAAATTCATTCTTAATATGACAAATGCTGTCACATATTTTAAATAGCAAACTGACATGCATAATTATGTAAAGCTCTCTTTTTATTTTTATTTCATAAACCCTAATGAATATAGGGTGCCTGATTTTAAATAAATTGTTCCTTTAAACAGATAATGGTGATTATACTATAAATAACTAAAGTTTCCTGATTTTTGCATTATTGTAAAAGACAAGTAGCCTAGTTCCCAACACCCATATTAACATGGGGGTGTGATTTTCTAACCTTAGATACTAAATATCATAATTTATTTCTATTCTCTCCCATGGTAGAAATTGAAAATGGGACCATCATACATTCAGCATTCTCCCCCACGTCCGTTTACATAATTCTGTAATAGTTTCAGAGTATAAACATGTCATAATATCTTTTGCAAACACAATGTATACACTCTCGGGTAGCCAAGGCAAAAGGCTGATTTGCCAGGGATGCCAAATGTCCTCCTTGGCACATTCTGCTGGGCAGGCTTCACAGTTTTCCCTGCGATGACTCTTTTGGAAAGGCTTCCCTTAGCCAAGGCGTCACTGTTCTAATTCAGGACTGACCCCCCTGCCTAGATAGAACCAGCCAACCATGTCCATTTCTCTAGTGGGATAGGCGTGTGCCTGGCCTATCTCAGAAGGCGATCAAAGTCAGACACCTCTCCTCAGCCAGCCGCTACAGAGCTGGCATGCCTGCTCCCACTCCCACTGCTTTTCACACTAGAAAGTGGCTGATACTACTGAGCTTTTGTTTTTTATATTGTTTTCTAGATCCCTTTGAGAAAAAGTCATTCCCCCCACTAGCCAGGCTGAAACCTACTTACAGAGACTGGGATAACTACAGACTGCGGATTGCAACTGAAGAGCAAAGCTGTGTAGTTTTTCAGCAATTAAGACATTTCTGGAGCCATGCAAATGGTGCGTGCAAACTGCGACACATGCTTTCTCTCCCGTCAGCACTTGCAAGTTCTCAATGAGACCACAAGACCCTCTGGTCCCTAAAATAGAGTCCTGCTCCATACAAGCTCTTCTTTATAGATGATTGATTCAGTGCCAGTTTCACAGTAAAACACTCTGTTCCAAGTTCTGAATCATCCACACAAAGTCATGGGTAGCAAGAACAGATAAAGATGAGGTCTGTCACTTCAGACAGAATAGGAATTGGTTTAAAGCTGCTTCATTTATGAAGCAAACATGAACTGTTACCAGCCTAGAGAAGAAAGAACAAAAAGAGAAAGGTTACGGTACGTTTTCTCTCTGCCTTCTTTTCATTTTCAATAGCTGAATACTTGCATAAGGCCCCAGACTGAGTAATAGACTTATACTGGTGTTTTGAACTTGGCTTGAAAGATCTGGGTACATTGTTTTTTAGTTGATCATCCCTGGGAATACTTGACTTTATCTGAAATGATCTTACTATCTTCTCTCATGGCTTCCCACTAAGAGGTAAACTCCGAAGGGCAAGGGAATTTGTCATCTTTTTTACTGCTGCCCTCAACTCTTGAAACAGAGCTTGGCACATTAGTACTTGTATGTACTCAATAATATTTTTTAAAAATGGGTAGATGGATATCCTGTGGCTTTCATCCCTCCAAATAGATAATCAGTTATCTCAGTTTGTGGTAAGGGGGTTATCAAGCTATTTAACTTTGAGTTTCTCTAGCAAGGGTTTAAAAGGTAGTAGGGGAGAAGGGAGAGGGGAGAAGGTTTGAAGGTCAAGGTAGTGCCTGGAGAGTGGAGAATGGAGAAATGGACATGGGTGGGGTTCCTGTCCTAGGCAGAGAAGTTGTCAAAGGCCACCAATGAGGAGCAGCCTCCTAGCCAAGGAGCAGCTCTAATATCCCTTACATCTCGCTGCTTGCTAGCAACCACTGCTCCCTACTGGGGAAACAGCAGCAGGAAGATCTCATTCAATGTTTCCACTCAGAAGAAAAACTGAAATCCTAGCGCCACATTCTGACAAAGCTCCTGGGGACTTTCCTTCGGCCTTAGTGCGGTACATTGTACTTGGTGAAGCAAGAAAGCTTTACTTTGTTTTAGTTCTTCAGTGTTGGTGCTAAACGACTGAGCTTTCATCAGACTTTTCAACTTCCCAGTAAAATATTTGTACTTCCTTATGTGTTTTTTTTCAATTAAAGATAATATCTTCACTTTGTCCTCCAGGGTATCCCCAAATAAATGTATAGTCTGCATCCCTCTTCCTCCTCACTGTCCTTCTTTACTTTAGTCCTTGTAAATCAATCTGAGAATCATAAATCACTGGCTCCAAAATATTGGGATCATTTTGCAGGATATTTTTAAAGTCTAGTAGCATGAATAGTAAGAAGAGTAGTATAAAAAGTAAGAATTACAGTATTTTTCTCAGGTTCTTCAAATGCCATACATTAAAATCTGTATGACAGAACAATTTATCTAACAGAAAACTCTACAAACTAGGGACTCTTTCTTTTGAAAAGCAGAATTGAATCCAGAAAGAAAAATTAAAAGACACTAAGCAAAAAAAAAATCAGAAATTAAAATGTATGGAAAATATTTTTAAAATAAGTCACAACTAAAAGGCAAAAAGGAATCACAAAACGCACAAGGATATTTTTAAAAAGGTAGGCATCATTTGAAGTTCTAGATGTAATTAAATGTAGAGAAGCAAGATTGAAACTCTATTTTTATTTTTGTCCCTGGGTCACTTAGCAAACAAAATAAGCTTGGAGACTCACCACTGCTTTTCCCATAGACAAAACTACAATTTTTATAATGATATCCTGAATTTTTACAGCAGCTTCATGACATAAGCGGGACAAGTGTTATTATGGTCTCATTATACAGGGGTGTGCTGCTTAATGATGGGGATGTGCTCTGAGAAATAAGCTGTTAGGCTCATCGCCGCTGTGCAAACACCACCAAGTGCACCGATACAAACCTACACGGTGTGCCTGCTGCATGCTTAGGAGATACAATGTCATTCCTGAAAATCTACATGGGATGGCTGCCCTATGTCATATGTGTGGTATATCTTTGACCAAAATATTGTTATATGGTACATGACTGTGTACAAAAAACTATGGGTCAGAAGACATTAACCGACTCGTCGAAAATCCTATAACCAGTTAAATGGCACAACCAAGGCTTGAACTCAGGTCTAACCCTTTGTAATCTTCTGTGTCACAGTGCAGCTACAGAAAGAAAACACAGAAACACAACCTCCAAAAGCTCCAGAAGGTTTTAGAAAATATCTGGTAAAGACTCAGAGATCTTGGCACCTGGGAAGCCCTGTACCTTCAGTGTCCAAGCTTGATTTGAGCTTTTTCCCTGTTCCAATCCTCAGATCTAATTTCTTCTGATCATAGGGAAGAGCTACAGGGAAGTTTTAGCTTGTGTTTCTTTCGTCAATCAGCCCACATGCCTAACTACAAAAATAATTGCTTTCTACACGTACCATGATGAATCAGTCAAGCAACTCCTGAGTAGACTCTATAAATACGTGCTATTTACTGTCAGCCAGACTGGGCTTTCTCTATGACCACGCAATCCCTCTTGCAGGGTCTTGAGTAAGAATCTTTGTAGATGACTCCCCAGTTCCAAATCTATAGTTTCCAGCCCTAGGCTAACATACTCGATCATTAGTCAGTTCAAACAATGTTTATCAACAGCTCCTCTTCACTTCCTTGTTTTTTAAAATAGCACTGTCCCATAAGCTCTAAAACATCCCTCAGTCCTGTCAAGCTCCCCCGCCCAGCAGTAACAGCAGTGTCTCCAAAATGGTCCATAATTTCCCATCTCCAAGGCTCTGACCCTATTTAAGTGGCCATTTTCTCACATCTGACTGGAAGACAGGCCTCCCAGACAGATTCCCTTCCTCCAGTTCACTACGCCCATCCTTCTGACCACACTAACACCTGGTTACTTTTCCCGAACCTCTGCTTTGATCGTATCATCCATTTCTTTTTACACCAGAAACAGTTCTTTATGCTTTACAGAGTTGGTGGCATCTGAGCTGAGCCTCAAGAGGGATTTGCAGAGATGATGAATAAGGTTCTCAGTGACAGAGCATCAGTCACTGACCTCATTCATTCCACCACCCATTGAACACTGACTCAATAAATGTGATGTGTTTCTTTCAGAACAATTCTGGGCTTCTTTTACCTATCTAATTTATTTCTTTTTATACATGAGAAAAATTTCTTACTTTTAAGAAAATTAAATAAAGAAATGTTAGATTCCCCATATGACTTTCCATAATTGTCCTTGCTGTGTGCACCTTGCTATACCACTGACTACAACTAAACCAGCACATTAACCAAACATATACACACAGACACAAGATAAAGTTGAGCCCAACTTCAGAAGAACCACCTCCCTTACCACTCAGTTCAACTTTCATTAAGGTCTCATTCATTCACTTCGTCTCGCATTCAACAGATATTCACCAAGTGGCCTGCAACACACAAGCACCAAGTAAGATGCCTGGGACCCACCATGAGGCCGACAGATCCAGCTCCTGTCCTTGCCTGTTATCTGACTACCAGAAATATATGGAAGTTGTTCGACGGTGGTTGCTTAAAAATGCCATTTTTTTCTCCTCTTAAACAAGTGGCCTAGGTTTTCCCATCAGAATCCACTCTCCAAATGCCACAGAATAAACACAATTAAAGTCACACAACTGAAGACTCGTGTGCCAAAACAAGATCCCAGCAATGCAATCTGAAATCAAACAACACAGGACATTGCTTGAGCTTCCAGGGATTAACCGTTTAGTGTGTGCTTTGTGGGAGTCTGACGGAAAGAAACTGAAATAGTAGTTAAAGAAACAGTGAGATTTTTATTGAGGTTAAAGGGCAGAGGAAAGGGTTTCTAAAAAAACGAATTACTTAAGGCCTGGGACTATCGCTCCAGAAAATAAAAAGTGTTGAGTGAAGAACAGATAAACTGAGTTTCTATCCTACCTACTGAAAAGGTAATTTAGGAACAGTTAAGAGAGTGCTAGTCATGCTTGGAGACAGCGATTAAGTGTACGACGAACTGTAAAAATAAGGAAGCATGTGGAGTAACAGGATTAAAGTGTTAGAGACATGTGCTATGTAATTACTATATCATGTTATGTCAGGTTGTTGACAATGATCTCTTTAATGATAAAAGTTAGCTCCTAGGGGAAGCCAAATGCTGTGACCCACTTTCCCTGAGGAACATTCAATCTGGACACAAACTTCTGAATTTGGGACAGAAGTAAAATCTGGAAGGACAGTGACCAGCAAGGAGAGCTGAGCTCACCAGATTACACCAGTAATAACCCACAAAAGTACGTGGTCCTCTGGCACAGGGAGCAAGAGGAAGAACTGAGGGTTCTTGCACCACGGTGGTAAAATGTACGCAGGAGGCATGGAGCATTAACAAAATTAGGGAAAGTGAGGGAGAGCAGAACACTGGACTGGAAAAAGCTAATGCGATACTGCATTCCTTCAACTGTGTCTGCAGCTTGGGCTCAGGATAAGGAGAGAGGAAAGGAGATAATGAACATCAGTCACTTCTGGCACTGTGCTACTCTCCCTTCTGGAACAGTCCCTTCCCCAAGCACCACAATCAGCAGGTATCTGTCACTGATTTAATTCAGTGCATCTTAGTTTCTGGACTGTGGTGAGTCATACCTATTACTAGTCACGTGGCAGGGGGCTCTTTGCCTTGACAGTTTTAGTCTTTTGATTATAAGATATTCTGACCTTTTCTCCTTTACCTTAAATTGGCAGGGCAACATTTGTGATTTTCTTTTTCTTTTTTTTCATCTCATCTAACAAATGGGATATTATATAGTGTTATAGTGGTCACTCACACCTGAATGGAATTGGCTTTTATTTCTTTCTTTATTTTTGTTAATATTTTATTTTAGCCCTATTTCCTTTGTCTAATTTATTTTCTTCCCTCTAAAAAGTATTTCAAGTAAATAATCCATTGTTAACTTTTTGAATAATTTCCACCATACAAGATAAAGTCATGTATCAGGGCTAACACTGCTTACCTTTCAACCCTCGAGAATATACAACGAGGGAGACATGCACAATCAGTTATGTAGCTATGATGCTTAACTACTGACATCTGCTTGACACGGGACAAAATAACAACGTTTGTCTTTAAATGTTGCCCTCTAAGATCTATCATGGTTCTTGCTAAACATGTTGGTGTGAGTTCTAAAACCTTACCAGTGTACGAAGGTAACAGTGTTGATACAAGTCGCAGTTACACTTCGTGAAACTCTCGCTCTTTTTCTTGCAACATACTGAAAAACAAGAAAAATGTTTACAGTGCTCGCCTTTAGACAGAGATTCAGAAGCATACCATGATTTAGGCATTATAAAGGAATTTTCTTTTCTGTAAAACACAGTAGCAAAAGGTTGAGAATTGGGTGGGAAGGTATACCTTCATACCCATCAGTATAAAGGATGATTTTCTGTATCTCTACACAGCCTTCTCAAGTAGTAAAAAAAAAACCCTCTCTATATATACATATGTACACACATACTGAAAATGTTTATATGCATTTAATATTTATATATAAAAATAATACACACAGGCATGATATGAGAGAAAAGCATGTTAAGAATTACAAGAGGAGGTAAATATGCCCTCGGAGACAAATATATGAAGGTACCCTACCAGTAAATGAAAATGTAGCACCAGGTGTGGTGATACACACCTGTGATCCCAGTACTATCTGAGGTGGAGCATGCAAATTCCATCCCACCCTGGATATTTTAGAGAGACCTTATCTCAAATTGAAAAAAAATTAAAAAGGACCAGAGACGTGCAAAGGCCCTGGGTTCAATTCCCACTGCTACAGAAAAAAAAATAATATTTGAAGAGACCGTGGTACATCAGAAACATGCTAAAAATTTGAGACGCATAGTCTGGAAGCTGCAGCATGCTTAGTTGCATCATGAAAATGATGTGTGCGGTAAGAGAATAACAATGCCGGGCTTGCATAATGACATAGTTAGCAAAGCAAAATACCTTATCTCGTTATCGTCTTCATTAATCTGTATATTTTCACCTGCTCTTGTAAGATTTGGTTGTTTCTTCTGGGAAAAGAACAATGGTACACATAGTAAAATTATCAGTGAATGACTCCTACAGTGTTACAAAGCATGTGGCCCTCACGTTTTATCTTTCATGCCAGTAACTCCAATAACAGTTTTTTTTTCCAGTGTGTGCAATACTTTTGCAATAAAATAAAGATTGCATGTGTTATCAACTCAGCATTTATAGGACACTGGGGTTGGAAGAGTGAAAAAGAGACTGTCTCATTTAAATAGTAATCAAATTCAAAAGACATCTCTAAAAGTTGAGTCGTGATGATTTACCACATTTTAAAATTTTAGACAACCTTCAATACAAAGAGAACAAAAGAGCAGAAATTCAAAATAGCAGTAACCCAAATGGCATATTTTTCCACTTGACTTTTAAACCCAGCAAATGATTTTCAGCATATTTTCCTCCGTTTTATATTTAGCTCAGAAACCTGTCTCATCCCTGAAGTGTGCATTCTGAGGTTCTATCTTCAGAGCCTACTGAGGATTGGTGGGCAATTTTCTAAAATTAAAAAAATAAAATTTAGACTATAGGTGAAAGGAGGACTCACTGTTTTCTCAATAGGATCCTTTCTTGGAATAAATATGCAAAGTTTATCAAGAAGGGGAAGAAAAGAGCCGCCACACTTACCTTCCAGTATAAAGCTCCAAAAGCAAAGCCAATCACAAGAGAAAAGAAGGCTGGCAGAGCCATGGCTGCCCACTGCAGGCTGGGGTCGCCAATGGAATCTCCTACTTTGCCTGTAAGGTAAAGAGCACCGTGCTGAGCACAGCATGTCTTCTGGAGGGTTTGCCTCTGTGCTGTGGTTGTCCCCACTTGCTTCCATAATATGCTCTGGACCTTTCTCTGTTTAAAGTACTGGAAAAACTCATTTTTCTGCTGAGTATTGTTTTTGCAAAGCAATATAAACCCATGTAATCTCCAAAAGGTGAAAGTGTTTAAAAAAGAAAAGAAACCCCACAGACAGAAAGAACTCTTGCTTGTTAATGTTCATGCATATAAAATCCAGACTTGGTATATTCCGGGCACAGGGGATGAATTCTTCGGTCAAGCAAATCTATCTTCTATGTCTTTTATCTTCTAAAGGTTTTTCACTTTCCCATACTTGACCTCTTGCCCCAAAGTACTAGGGATCATATTTTACAAGCTGGATCAGGATCTGTACACATTCAGGATCTGTACACACCCTGTAGTACAGGATCTGTACTACATTTGACCTGCTGCAAATGTTAACTCATTATATATGCACTACAGTTGTGGTACATGCAGGCACCTCATCCTTAGACTAATGGTTCTTCACTCATTTTCACCTCCAATACACATTTGCTGGATGCCAGGCACTGCCAAGTACTGTGCTATACTTTTGACACTGAAAAGCTTGAAACTCCTTAACACCAAAGATGACCAAAGGTTTCAAGGTTACACATACGAAATAAGTAACTTTGTCACAAACACAAGCGAGACTGGCTTCAGACGCCTTCCCTGATTCTGCCTTACTCTTTCACGGGATAAGAAGAATATGTGTATTACAACACCTTTCCTGTAAGAATCTCTTCCTCCAAATAGGAAACTTATTTTGACAGATTTCTTTATATGTCCCCTTACAAAACGGAACCTGTTTGTTTGGAAACATTGACATGTATTTGCAAGAGTTAAATTTGCAGTGTGTGCGTGTGTGTGTATGTGTGTGTGAGTGAGAGAGAGGGAGAGAGAGAGAGAGAGAAAGAGAAGATATGATACATTTAGAAATTATAAATTTCCAACAATTACAGTGTATGATTTTAAAAATGTAAACTAACTCAGAGTAGAGTGAATACTTTTTGGTCACTTTGCAATAGTATCTGGTTTACAAGGTTAACCTACTTTTATCTGGCTAACATCCAGTGTACCTAAGGTACATAAAAGAACAGATCCACTGTGGGCATCAACATTTACAAGGGAAACATAAACTTACAAATGTAATCTAAGAGAAAAGAAATAGATTGTATCTATTGTAGTGAGAATAGGACTAGGGACAGGAAATTTCCTAATTCTATGGATTTCTATGTTTCCAAAGTGACTCCAATGCTAAGATATTTCCATGTGGCTCATTTCCACATGAGTATGTTGGGAGGGGACCGTCAGGCGAGGGTATCTAGCATGAAGTGCAGGGAATTGGATACGGAGCTGTGAGAAGTGGGCCGTCAACTTACATAATCAGGAATTGCTTCCTTAAAATGAAACTAACAGTTCTGGCCCACCACACATCACGTCACCCCAGGAAAGATGTGTGATAGGAAACTCAAACTAGAGTTCAATGCAAATTTTCCCACCAAAATAAACTTGAGTTATAAAATGACATTTGGTATAATGAAGTAGTACTGTAATTACACTATTACAGATATTTTTAAGGGTTATATAAGATTATGAGGAATAGTCTGGGATTTTACTATCAGTTTAAAAAATTTACATAAGAAAAGACTTGGAAGTGCAAGAGAGCCATATCATATTTAAAAATTTAATATTATTACCTATAAATAAATAATATGGGTAGTTGGGCTTATAAGTTCTTTCTTCTTCTTGTGTTTGCTTTCTGAGATGGGGTCTCAGGCTGATCTTGAACTCACTATGTAGCCCAAGATGGCCTGAATCTCACCACAACCCTCCAGCCCCAGCCTTGCGGGTGCTGGGGTTGTGGCTGTGTACCACCCTGCCAAGCCCCTGTGTTCTTCTTCATGGACCACCTACTGTGGACCCCCACTGTCTACTAGGATTGTTGATTTTCACCATTTTGATAGTGGTACCTTGAGGATGATGGGGGACTACAAGTCCTAGAATCTAAGATGCAGTATAAACCTCCTTCAGGAGAGGGGGAAGGAAAAGGATCTTAAAGACGGAAAAAAAGGGCCCCCCAGCCATGAATGTCACATCCAGTACAGGTCAAAGTTTCCTTATTTTATTATTTCACCCATTATGCACTAGGCTTAAAAGTCAAGCCTTCCGTTCTCAGGGATACCAGGGCCCTTTTGCAGGGAAAGAAAAATAACTTTATCACCAAAGGCTGCTTACATGTCCAGGGTAGAACTTCCCATTGTGTACTTGCCTCTGCAGCTATCAATCTCCAGTCAATGAGATTTGGATTGTATGCCTCAAAGCCCATATGAAGGGCTTTTGGGGCCAGGGCCCAAGCCGATAACAAAGCTTTACTTTTGCTCTAGAGACCTTGTGAGGAGGAAGAGCATTTACATAGGACTTTGAGTAATCCCAAATTCCTGAGTCATTACTGTACTGTGTCTCATTCTTACTAAAACCGTCCACTGTTGAAACTTCTGGGAAACTGACTTGCTTGGTTTGACTAATAATAACTGACATCTAAAACAACAGAGCACAAAAATGTGCCACAATCTTGCTGAAGTTTTTAGAGCAAATCCGCGTAGGAGTTCCATACCAGTGAACGTAGGTCTCTTGGTGCTTAAGAAACAGGCAAATGAGAATGCTTCTGCTTGATTCAGACCTAAAATTTAGCATGTACTTGCCACAGTCCCCACCCACAATTGTTGCACCTAACTGTTCTCATACTTAGCAATGAACTCTTACTAGACATCAGGCATGGCTCCAAGCCCACGTGCACTAACCCACTCATAACTCACACAGAGCTCTTGAAGGAGGTGTTTTCTTCTGATTCTTCCTAAGCCATTAGAAAGCTTAAGTAACTTGCCTAAGGGCCCACCGTAAGCTTAGAACTATAGCTGTGATATGAGTTCAGGCGATCTGATTTAAGATTGTATTTCCAGGAGATGTATATGACAATGCCAAATAAAGATTTCTTTCTGTATCATCATTTAAGTACTGTCTGTAAGGATCTCAAACATCTTTTAACCAACACTGTTCTTGGCATAAGGGACATTACTATCACTACAATTCTTTGGATAAATAGCAGGCTTGTGTGTTATCCTTTGACTCCTTTCATATTCATGTGGTTCATATGCCTTGGTCCTCTGACTGGGCCAGCTTTTAAGTCTTATCCCTGAAAAGTCTCATTCTTTCTTCAAATTTCTCTGACTCTTTTCCAATAAAATGTCTCATCTCTTTTATGCTACAATTAGAAACATTTATAAATCTATTATTATACTTATTATGTACCATACTACAGGTATTTTGTTTACATCTCAATCTTTTAGAATGTCAGTACCACATGAGCTTGTCTCGTACATCATCGTGTAAGTGGGATATTTATGAGTCACAGTGTACCCAACCAAATTTTTTCTTTGGTACCAGGAATCAAACTTAGGACCTTGTGCTTGCCAGGCAGGCACTATGCAGCCGAGTTATATCCTCAGCACCCAACCAAGTGTTGATGTCAATGAGAGACTTGTATTTTTTACAAAAGGAAGAAAACAGAAAGCAAAATAAAGAGAAAAAAAAGGAAAGCTGTCCATTCATCTTGCAATTTAAGCATCAGAGGCTTAGGATTAAACAGGGCTTTTTGTTACTTTTTTTTTACATTCAGCTTCTTTTGAAGTCAGAAAGAGAAACTTCTGCCGTATTCCAACCATGATGGTAGCAAACTAGCTTTCCAAACTAAATAATTATAATTCTGGGCAAATTATACAAGACAGGATATCCAATTAGTCCACAATCAATACAAAAGTGTAATGCCTGAGAGAAGGAAACCATACAAAGTAAGACCCATCGTTGTCCTAGCTTTCTGGCTTTTGGGTCTCCCAGCTAAGAGGTACCTTCTCGATGAGGTGTGGAAACTTAGAACCCAGCAAGGGTCAATGGTCTCACTGACACATGGAATCAGAAATGAAAGTTCAAAGGTGTTTACAGGTTAGGACCATGAAGCTAGGATATTTACAAGAAGAACACTGTGCAAAGAAGCAACATAACTCTCTAAGAAAGTTTCCTTCAGTTATTGGTCAAATAAATACTATATATATGCATGGAGAGAGACATCACAGAAGCGGGCAAGAATATGACATATAGGAATCTCTATTCTTAACAGAGACCCTAGTGGTCACATAGTAATGGGAGACAAAGGAGTTCTGGCAAATAAGATTATTGAGATTTTCTCAACACTCTGGAGATGTTGCAAAAACTCTATGGTCTAAGAGTTAAAGACATATTACAGCGATACATGCATATCCATGTTTATAGCAGCACAATTTACAATAGCTAAATCTTAGAAGCACCCTATATGTTCATCAACAGATGAATGGATAAAGCAAATGTGGTATTTACACACAATGGAGGACTGCTTTGCCATAAAGAAAGATGAAGTTGAGTCCTTTGTGGGAAAATGGATGCACCAGAGACCAAGTGAAATAAATCAGACACACAAGCTTAAATAGCTCATGCTTTTTCTTACGTGAGAAAGCCAAAGTATAAATAAATAGCAAAGTAAAAGATAAAGGATAGGAGGTAGGGAGATAGATCTTTCTCAAATGGGAAGGGATCAAGAGATCGAGGGAATGGGGAGAGAGAGGAAAGAAAGGGGATGAAAATAACTACGATGAGTTATATACCTGTACCAACTCCACATAAGGAATGTAAGTGTTATGTACTGAAAATATGTACTAACAAACATAAAAATTAAAAGAATAATAAAAAGCCAACCAAAAAAAGAGAAAAAGAATAAGGTACCTCCTTTTCTGTCCCCAAGACAGTTTAGAAACAAGCCTGGGCAGGAAGATAAAGCTCATCCACTAGTAAGTATTCTTCCCATCAGAAAAAATTCAACAGCCTCTAAAGGAATACTACAAAATCTGGAAAGTACTCAGCAATATAGTAACTATGACATACAGGATATATTTAAAAACTGCTATTTAAAAGAATATGTGATTCATAATAGGGAGGGCAAAGAGCCAATAAAACTAACCCTAATGTGATCTACAAGTTGAAAGTAGGTGACAGGAATTTTAGAACACCTGTCATAATTATTTTAAGGAATATAAAGGAAATATTATAATAAATATGCAGATGAACCACCTCATCAGAGCAATAGAAAAATAATCAAATGGAAACTCTAAAACACAAAATATGAATGTAGAAATGAAAAGAATTACACAATAGAAAATTCAGTAGATTAGAGACAGCAGACAGAAAGGTCAGTTAACTGGAAAACAGACAAGAAGAAATTACCCACTCAGAACAACAGAGGGAAAAGAGGTTAAAAGCATGAAAAATCCTTCTGTAACCTATGATACAGTATCAGCCTCCCTGAAGTATGTGTAACTGGTGTCTCAGAAAGGAGCAGGAAAATATTTCAGAAAATTATGGTCAAACTTTTCCTAACTTTGGGAAAAATAAATTTATAGATTTAAGAAGGCTGACCAATCCAAGAAAAAGCCTTGCTCTCTCTCTTTCTCTTTCCCTCTCTCTCTCTCTCCATCTCCCTCTCCATCTCTGTGTAAATAAAGACAAACAAGTACAATCATATCTTATTTACACTGTTAAAGGAGAAATTTTTGAAAGAAAGCAAAGAAAACTCTAGTGCAGTGCATACACACAAAAATATAATACAAATGATGGCTGTCTGTTTTTCAGATACAATAGCCATAGGAAGAAAATCTAATGACATCTTTAAAGGACTGAAAAAAGAAAAATTCTGTTAACCCAGAATTTGATGTGTAGTTCAAAAGTACCTTCTACATACAAGACAAAATAAGATATTTTTCACGTAAAAGAAGGAAGAGAATTTGTTGCACCAGATCTGTACTGCAAGAAATGTTAAGGGAAAATTTTCAGCCTGAAAGTAATTAACACCAAGTAGAAACGTATATTTACAAAAAGGAATAAAAGATACAGGAAATAGAATAAATTTAAAGGCAATACATTTTTTGCTTCTCTTACTTTCTTCAAAAGACGTACAATTGTTTAGAACAACAGTTGTAAGAGTAGATTATGGGGTTTATAACTTATGTGGCTACACAGTAATATACCAGCAACAACATAAAACTTGGATGTGAATAAAGTTCTAACTATATACTATCTATCAAAGGTACACTTTGACAATAAAGACAGCTGATTAAAAAAAATAAGTATATATAATGAAAACAGTTAATACAAGGACAACTGGCTCTACTAATATCAGACAAAATATAAGGCAAGACAAAGAACGGTACCAGAGGTGATGAGGAATATTTCAGCAAAATTAAGAAGGCAATGATTTGGGGAAGATATAACAGTAGTACAGAACTAAAGAGATAATCAGACAAATTACAGAAAATGAAAGTTCTTACATTCACCTTTCTAAACAATTGATAAAAAATTATACAAAACATTTAATAAGGAAAACAACATAAGAAAAATACTACCAGACTACTTTTGCAAAGTTGAGAATAGTTCATCCAATAGTCGAATAACATACATAATTCTCAATAAATTTGAAAAGAGTACAGACTACAATCTCAGATGGTGACAGAATTTAGAAATCAACAATAAAATATGTAGAAAACTCTAAAATTTTAGACATCAAACAACTCACTTATTTCCCATGAATCAAAAAAATCATAATTAAAAATATTTTGAAAAAATTATAAAGAAAATTTTGCAAAGTATGTTGGAATGTGTGGGATACAGCAAAAGTAGTGCTTAGAAAGAAATTTATAACTTTAAGAAACTAGGAAAAACTAGTTTAAAAATCAATGATATAATTTTTGCACCTTAAAGAACAAGAACAAGTTGAATAAATTAAGACCAAAGTAAGTAGAGAAAGGAAATAATAAAAATTAAAATCAGTAAAATATAAACAAACCTAAACCAAAAGTTGCTTCACTGAAAAGCTTAATAAAACCCATAGCTCACTGGAAAGGCCTAAATTGATGCATACATACATATATAACCCCACTCCTCTTTGAAACTTTTCAGCCCTGATGTGCTATATGTGTCATTCAGAATTTCAGGTTTTAGGAATTCTGTCCTGCAAATATTGTATATTACAGACTACAAATATTGTATATTATAGACTATTGCATATTATAGACTTCTGGATAGTGCCCTAAAATCAAATATGTCCATATTTCTGTATTGAAATGCATAAATATTCATTCTTAGATGAATAAGACTGTAAATAGCTTGCTTCATCTCAGATCAGAACAAGTTTTGGTAGGAAAATTTTAAGACGAATTGTAATTTAGTGGGTTTTTAAATTCCATGTTGTAGACATGCTATTACACATTTGTAATAAAATGCTTACACCTTTCTCCCACAAAAAGTCTTTCGTGTCCTTGAACAAATGACAACCCTAACCCCATTTTTAAGTCTGAAGGGACGACCTTTTTAGAAAAAAATGACCAGATTTTTTCTTTCTGTAGCTGAGGCTGAAAGCATATACAGTAAATCCAATAAGCTTTACAATGATGTTTGCCTGAATTTGGGAAGACATAGTATTCCAAAAAGTTGGGTTATTGACCAAAGAGCACAGACATTTCATGGAAAGAAATATATTTTCTTCCAGCACATACATTTATGGTAAAATAACAAAATCACTGAACTTCCAAACACACAATACCAAATATTAATATACAAATAGACAACACTAAAAATAGCCTTAGAATTTTATGAAAAGCATTTGTATTTTCAATTTTAAAATTCCATTTTTGCCAGGCACATTCTCCACAAAATATATTTAAGTCTATAGTGATAAAAGTGTAAATTATATATCTAAAATTAATTTCATGCCTTATTTAATATAATCTTAGCAGAAAATCTACTGTCCCAATTCTCTATACATATCAAAACACTAGGGAAACACAAGTCTACAAACCAAGTACTTAATGCTCAGGAAGATCATAAAAGGAATAACAGTAACAGAACAGTATTAATAATATTGATTGTATAAATTTCCTTTAAAGCCCATGCAATACTCCTATAGAGGCTAATTGGAGCCATGCATGCATTAAATCAGACGTGTACTTACTATTACTGCTACTGCTGTCATTCTTAAGGGAGCTGGCTGCAACAGGGGGTAACATAAATGGTTTTGTGACACTGACTCTGGAATCTAAATAGAAAGCAATAATGTGTCAGTGTTACATGGTGATGTATATGAATAACAGAGACCTCAAAAGGTGCAGTGCAATATCAGAGTATGTGCCAGGTCTGATTCCTCTAATGAGATTATTCAGATCCTATTTATTTTATATTGAGCCCTACTGTTCTATTGTATTACGAGAGTTACCATAGTCACCTTGTAGAGCAAGTATTTATGGCATACACATGCTTCTGTCATTCAAAAAAGAAAGCAATAAAATTGTTGTTATAGCGACCAAGTGGCAGGAAAAGGGGATATCAATACAGAACAAGTCATGAGAATCAGAAGTCATACACAGAATTAGACCCTAGTGAAAAGATTGAAGAGGGGAACATTAAAGAAACCGCAGGTAAAGAAAAATACAGTTAGACTCTATTAGCAAACATCAGATAGAGGATATATGAGTGACCATTTCATATATTGTTTACTCACATACAAATTTTTTTAAAAACCTACAAATACACAATCACTAGTTTCTCTTATGCCACTGATATTTACTTATTTATTAGAATACACTCCATCTTTTTATCGTTACACATACATTTGATTCAGAGGTAGATTCTTAAAGTCCAAGTTTTCCATTTACACTTCAAATGGAGATGTCTATGTGTCTTACCTTTCTCAGGACTTAGTGTTGAAGAAACCACACAATCACTAGTTTCAGGTGGTACCACAAAGTTCTTGAAGGCATCAATGGATCTATTAAAAATTCTAAAGAACTCTTCAGGAGTAAAGTTCCTCGGTACAGGCCTCTTAGATGATTCTTTCACATTCTATACAAACCACAGAGAACAAAATAAAATCGAAAATTACATTTTTCAAATAGTCTAGGCCACTTAGCATAACTGAGGTCAGATGAATGGACTATAAATACATCTTCCAAAGATTCAAATATCTGAATTTTATCTAAAAGCCAAAACTTCTAGATCGCTGTTTTCATGAATATTAATTCAGACGGGTGACGCTGTTCAGCAGGTCCACTGTGGTGGTGGTTCGGTGAAAATAATGTCACAACAATGGAATAATGCTGACCACAAATGGAGGACTTGCTTTTTAGAGATGTTCATCAAAACATTCGTGTTTCTGGGTGCAGTGGTGCATGCCTGTAACCTCAGTTATTCGAGAGGCCAAGGCAGGTGGCTCATAATCTGGGCAACTTAGAGAAAACATGCCTCAAGAAAGAAAGAAAGAAGATAAAAGAAAAAGCTGGGGATGTAGCTCAGTCATAGAGCACTTGCCTAGTATGTGTGAGACCTAGCATTCAGTCACCTGCACAAGAAAAAATTTAGTGTTCATTTAAGAGCCCTCAGGAACATACGCTTCAATATCCCAAAATGAAAATATCTGATGCTACTAAACATTAGCACAGGTGGAGAGTGGGGAATTCTTATATATTGCAGTTAATACTTTTGGTATTATCTAAAAGTTGGACATGTGCCCACGCTATAATCCAGAATTTCCAGTCCTAGTTATGTACTCCACTGGAACTCTTAGCACATACGCACCATAAGCCATGGAAGAGAGTTCCTAAGGCCATTATAACCCTCAGACCCCTCAACTGAAGAGTGGCTTAATAAGTAGTGGAATACTCAATCAGCGAAATACTCTATAAGCAGTAAAATTTAACCACATTATGTGCAGCAAAATTGATGCATCTTATAAACCAAATACTGAGTGAAAAAAGCAAGTCACAAAGGAATAAAAAGACTAGGATTAATTTATACAAAATTCAAAAAAGCAAGTCAAAGACGCATTTTAGGGATACATTAAATGGATGCTTATTTATACAGAAAATAGCTAATAAGAAGCATCTATATGTACTTACTATGAACTATTGTGTGTGTTTTATGTACATTAACTGAATCTCCAAAGCTACTGAGAAATATCATTGCAAACTCCTGGATTCTGCCCTGCCAAGATTAGCAAATGTGCATTCTTCATTTTCAGTGCTCTTCCCAGCACTGCCGTTTACTGACCACCTAACTCATGTTGAAAACCCCAACGTATATGTTACTTTCTTTTTGATAATTTGTTATGCACTAAAGCAAAACAACAGAAATGGTAAAATGAAGTGATTAGATTATGAAATAAATTTGTAATCTAATAGAAAGATTGTATAGACTTCATTCTTATACGAAATAAAAATAAAGGCTAACCTGTTTTTACCTTGCAGTGTGAAGAAATTTTATTTTTAAATTAAGTGACCATATTTAAGTCTAAATGTATGTTTCAGCGCTGCAGTATGGCTACGGGCACCTGTTTCCTGTATTCATTTCAAAATGTTTTTAAAGTCAAGTTCAAACTAACACAAAATCAAGATGCCTTCACGTTCCTAACACCATTAGTTGACATGGGCTTTAAAGAAGAGTAACAGCAACAAAAAATCCCAGTGAGCACAAAGTTACCTTAAATGAGGTTTCCATGCACTCCACAAGGTCATCCACTATCTTCCCAAGTTTGTCTATAATAGAGTAATTACTCAAACCTTCAGAAATATTTGAAAACTTGTCCAGAAGATTAGTCAAGCTGACTGACAACTGCATTACCATCTGGCGTAACCAACAGTGACTAGGCTGGAGGAAATGAAAGAGGAGACAAAGCATTTATTTTAACAGTTGAAGAACACTTAACAGTACCTTTTTTAAGGCTGTCCATGTTTCAGTCATTGTCTGCAGGACAAAGGATTTCCTTATAGAAGACCAGGTCAATTCTAACTATCCTATTTTAAAATTGACAAATGCATAAAAATAGGAGGACATTGTTTTGCTGGTAAATATTTTGTTCTTCCATAGAAGAAAAGCCAATACATCACTTTGCCAAAGTTCAAATATTAATAGAATTTAATTTACTGAGGATTATTTATGGTTTACTTAACTGTATTCTCAAGGGAGCATTAGATATTAAATAAATTACAAAAAGTTACTGCGGGAGAGAGTTAGAGCCCTCAATCAGCCCCCAGTCTTTGGGTGGACTGGAATCTCAAACCACCTATGTTTCTATACAGTGTGACAGATTTCAAAGCTTCTAAATAGATAAATTCATGTGAGTGTTTTAAAACAGATCTGGCACAAAGGTGATCTGAGAGCTAAGTAGAACCACTTTTGCCTTGTAGTTGGTTACATTATTTAGTCAAAAACTGTTGTTCAAAACTACTAAGAATTTTAAGATTTTGACTGCAGAATATTAAACCAAGTATGAAGACCTTGAAATAGGTTTTGCCCGTTGATTCTACAGATGCTCAGGCCTTGGAATCAGGCATGATGGGTTCATTTTAGGCTGAGACTCAGGCAAGCTACTGAAACTCTCTGAACTTGACACTGACTGAATGAGAATAATGGAACCTCTCATAATGGGTAGCTGTTAGGAGCCAATGTAGATAATTTGAATATAAGTTCTGTGAGGGCAGCATTTTTGTTTGTTTGTTTGTTTCACCTAGCTTCTTATGGCATTCCCAATGGCTGGAATAACACCTGGCATATGGGAACTGTTCAGAAGCTACTTGCTTAATGGACACACCAATAAATTAAACAAGAAAAAAGAATGAATGAGAAAAAGCACTTTATATCAGAGGTCAGCACTCCCTACAAAGTGCAAAAGAGTGAGCATTTTAGGCTTTGTGATAGGAAGTAAAACCAAGAATATTATGTAGGAGAACATTTACAGGAAGACAAAGCATATTTCCACCAAATTTTATTACAAAATTTAAAACTTAATAAGATCAGTTGAATATATAATTTTTGCATAATAAAATCTTTTTAAATAGAGCTCTAGTGAGAAAAAAATTGTTTTAGGTTAACATTTCGCTTAGTTGTTTTTAAAATCAGCATTCTCTATTATCAGATAGAATGCTCAGAGTAATTGATGCTGCATAAAATGAGGGAAATCACCTAACTTTTTCTGTTTACCATCAGATCATAATATAGGAAAGTCAAGTAATTCATTTTTTCTAAATTAGGTGTGGAGGCTATTGAATATCCATGTTAAGAGTAGTTTAAACTGATATATTTCAGCCAAAAAGGAAACTGGTATATCTCCAGGTACGTAAGTCTCAAAAAATATTAAATATTCAAAACTTTGAGAACTTTTGGATGTAGTCAGGTAAGCAGAATAAATCTCTCAATGAGGTCAAGCAGTCATTTCACCTCAACGCAGTCAAGTTCTCAAAGACTGTTTCCCAAGTACATCCAGAATCAAGTCTTTATTCTGTTAAATCACTTAGCTCAAGCATGTAGAGACTTCTGCTTGCATAATTTACAAGTCTTTTACAAAGCCAAGCATGTTGGAATGTGCGCGTAATCTCAGTCCCCTTCTGGGAGGCTGAGGCAGGGGGATGGCAAGTTGAAATCCAGCCTGGGTAATGTAGCAACTTAATGAGACCCTGTCTTCAAATAAAATATAAAAAGTACAAAGCCCCTGGGTTCAATTCCTGGCACCACATTAGAAAAACAAGCTGTTAATCTTTCCTTGGGCGCTGAATTGTTCTGCAAGCTTCGCCCCTCTTTGGCAGAGCTAACTCCTTTCAGGTCAATGGCCCTATCAGCAAAGGCTGATAGGCTACAGAACACAGCACATACTGTAATACTGTTTGCAAAGTATCTACGTAGTAGAATGGCTTTTACTATTTAGTTCATTCAGTTGTAATCACACAAATTTTCCTGTGACAAATAGATTTCACAGGTTAATGTCTTAAAACACTTTCTTTGTTCCATGTTATAGTGTTTTCGCCTGTCCCTCTCCAACCTTCTGACAAGAAAGAACCAAGATCAAATTCCTTTGCTTTAAACTGAGGCACGCCTTTTGGTTCTGTGGCTGGGCCTTAACTAATTTTTTTCTTTCTTTCTTTCTTTCTTTCTTTCTTTCTTTCTTTCTTTCTTTCTTTCTTTCTTTCTTTCTT